AAAAAAAAAATGTGTGAATAATATACTCTATCAATCCTACTTTTAAAAAAACGATAATAATTTTAGCAAAGTTTGACGAATTTTTAAAATTAAACTACTTGTCGTAAATCCGTAATATTACAGTATAATATATAAGACCATGATGTATATCGCTAAAAAAAATCCATAAAAATCGGCTTAATTTTTTTTCAACAGTTAATTACAAGAAAACGGCTCGGTAGATTTTCACCTAAAATTAATCAGTATCATTCCCAACTAATATCTTTCGAACAGTTTTTGATTTTTTAAAATCGGTTCGGTAGGATGAGCTTAAATGTGGACGAAAAGTTTAACACTTTTTTTCAAATTGCAAAGAAACGGCTTGGCAGATCGTCGCACAAAACTGACAAACGATAGTCCTCACCGAAATACATCAAATGGCTTTTAAATTTTGAAATCGGCCCAGCGGTTTTCGGCAAAAAATCTGTTCACATATACACACACACACACACACACACACGAATGGCTTGAAACGTCGAGAAAATATAAAATTAGAGAATCGGATTTTTTGATGAAAACATAAACTTCTCCTTCGGGAAGTTAAAAAAAATCTTATTGTTAACTTCCCGTAGGGTAAGTTATTGTAATGGGCCGAAAATCGGAATTGAAAATTTTAACATTTCTCGACGTTTTGAAGGTTTCTGAACGTTTGTGGCATACCTCAGAAAAAATGGATGTGTGTGTGTGTGTGTGTGTGTGTGTGTGTGTGTGTATGTATGTATGGATACAAATTCCAGTCACGTTTTAGGGCGCACGGATCCACCGATTTGAATGGTTTAAAAAACATTCGATTCTCTATTGATAGGGAAAAGAGCTGATTAGTTTTTGGCAAAGGCAGGTCCAGCCGTTTCGGAGATACGGAGCAAGAGTGCAGAAAATAGAAATCGAATTTTTGAGAGAACGGAGTATCCGATTTGAATGATCTAAAAAACATTCAATTAGTAATGATGGGAGAAGTGTTTATTAGTTTTTGGCAAAGGCAGGCCCAGCCATTTCGAAGATACGGAGCTAAATATGTAAAAAATGGCGGTTTTCGAGAGAACTAAGCGTCCGATTTGAATGATTCAAAGAACTTTCTGCTTGTCTTAACAAAATAATTGATTTTGAAAAAAAAAATTTTGTCCCTTTTTTTTTTTTTTTTTTTAATTTTTTGTATACCGAAAATAATTCAGATTTTTATTTTTAATTCTGACTATAGTTCTAATACACTTTAAACAAATAATTTCAACTCTGCAATTCAGTTTATATAATTCTTATAAACATTAGATAATTTTACAATATTTATAATAATCTATTTGAAAACATTCAGTATTCCTCGAACATTTCGTTACGGTACGGGAAGTTCCAGCAATTTGCCTTAAGGCACGATGCCACCCACCCCACTAGTTTTATTTTATTGTTTAGTTGAATATAGTTGTAGTTGTATATACATTATTTTATATTTGTACTAGTAACTTTCAATTCTGTTTACGTTTGTTTAAGATAATAAAAAAACACCGGTAATTCACCGGTATTCCGGTTTTAAAATGAAAAATTACCAAAATACCGGTATTGAAATTTCCATCGGTATTGCATTCCCTAGTACTAGGTATTTAACATAGTATATAAACATATATTTCATATAAAAGCGTCTTTTCCTTGCCTTTTATCTCGTAACTCCATCAACCGTCCATTTACCAAGTCATTTATCCAGTTCATCAGAGAGTTTGGAAGGATGAAAGACTCCCTTTCGGTGATGATGCCTTTAATAAGGTTTGCTGGTGTGACATCAAAAGCAGGATTCCAGCAGGTGATACCTGTATAAACATTAGCTAAAATGAGGGATTAAATAAGTAAGAGTTCACATTTTTGTTGACCATTACCTTTGGCGGCGATCCTGTACTCCCCGATGTGGGTCATTTCGCGCTCTGGTCTTTCCTCAATTATTATCCTATCACCGGAGGGAATCTGGTAGAAAATAGATGGTAATTAGTGGATAAATTGAATGATGGTGATGGTAATGGTGAATTTTGTTACCGTAAAGTCTATGGATGTAAATGGTGCTGCTACGTAGAATGGTACTTTATGATGTTTTGCTAAAACTGCTATTTGGTATGTGCCTATTTTGTTGGCCGTGTCTCCATTGGCAGCAACCTAGAATGTAGACAAATTATTACTCGAATTATTAATAAAAAAAAGAGTGCGCGTAAGGTTGAAGTAAAACTTATTTGATACTGTACAAGATGGCATTTAAGTAAAAATAAATACATCATGTAACAATTTTGAATAATGTTTATTAGTAATATGGTAACTATTCGTGATGCACACATTTATTAGTGTCATCAATCATTATACACATTTATATGATGATAAATTATAAATTATATATTTATAATAGCATTAAAAAATATGTATAATATTTAAAAGCAATACTGTAATTAAAGTCATACTTCAAATACGACATGATCGGTTTGTCATTGTAATTAGCATTCAGAAATAAACCTTCATTTGAGAAATGAAGTGATTGCTGATTAATAAATTCTATAATATTCGTTCACACAGTCGATTATGTTAAACAATGCCTAAACAAATATTGTTTGTAAATTAATAATAATTGTGTTTGAAGAACTTCATGTAATTAAAATTAACATACATTCATTGACTTCTTCTGTTTTTTTTACTTTTTTGCTGGCGATATAATCTGATTCTTTGAGCAACTGTAATATCTGTCTTGCCTAAAAAATATTTTACATTTCAATAACTTGAAAGATTTATAGAAACTACAAGTCTATTTTTTATTTTATTTTTAGTTTTGCTCGTCAGTAGAGTCCCTTTTTAATATTATTTTTAGATTGCTCGTCAGTAGAGTTCGTTTTTCTTTAATTTTTAATTTAATCATCAGTAGAGTATCTTTGAATTTTATTTTTATTTTGCTCGTCAGTAGAGTCCCTTTTTAATTTTATTTTTAGTATGCTCGTCAGTAGAGTCCCTTTTTAATTTTATTTTTTAGTATGCTCGTCAGTAGAGTCCTTTTTTTTTCTTTTTCCTTTAATTATTAATTTAATCATCAGTAGTCTCTTTGAATTTTATTTCTATTTGGTCGTCAGTAGAGTCCCTTTTTCTTTAATTTTTAGTTTGCTCGTCAGGAGAGTCCCATTTTCTTTTATTTTTAATTTAATTATCAGTAGAGTCTCTTTGAATTTTATTTTTAGTTTTGTGTATAGTTTGCTATGAACAATAGACCAAAGAAAAATTTGGTTTTGCTCGTCAGTAGAGTCCCTTTTTAATTTTATTTTTAGTATGCTCGTCAGTAGAGTCCCTTTCAGTATGCTCGTCAGTAGAGTCCCTTCTACCTTTAACTTTAATTTAATAATCAGTAGAGTCTCTTTGAATTTTATTGTTATTTTGCTCGTCAGTAGAGTCCCCCACCTTTTTTCATTTTTAGTTTGGTCGTCAGTAGAGTCCCTTCTTATTTACGAATAATATAGAAATAATTTGTAATCAATAAACTTACGTTTAGTACACAACACAAATGTTTAATTTGTTTTATTATTTTCAAGGAACAGGTTAAAATATTCTTCCAATTCAGGCATTTTTCATTAAATCAAGATTTGTACTACGATGTAACTTTAAAATGTTTATTTATCTATACCGTGATTTCCTTGTTGATGTCGGTTCGCATACAACGACAGATCTCTATTCACACGACACGACGACTAATCACAATCGACCCGTATAGAAATGATATCGTCGAGAGCAAATGACGAATCATCGGCACTCCACTCTTATCTCATCTTATTTGCCGTAACGCACTTCCGTTGCATTTGTACGGATCTACACCCTAGTCGCGCCTAAAGAAGTTTTACTCACCCTATCTGCTCCAACAACAACAGCATCCAGACTTTTCGTCCTCATCAACGCAGCAACCATACTATCACAAACTAAAGTAGCAGGCAATTTGTCATGGACTAATTCAAAAGCTGTCAATCGGGCTCCTTGATTGTACGGACGAGTTTCAGTGCAAAAAACATGATCTGGGGAATAAAATTTATAATCAAACATTCAAACTTTATATTTTTTTTGTTAGATTTTTATTAATTTATTACCTAATTTATTTCGTTCTTGTATGGATCTAACTACACCTAGGGCAGTTCCATAACTAGAAAGAAAATAGATTTAAATTCAATTAAAAAAATATAATAGTTTTTATATACATTAGGGTGGTCCTTAATATGGATATTTTCGAATTTCCTTGGTCCAAAAATTTGATATATTTCATAAAATAAGTATTTACTTAGGAAGAAAAACCAGAGATATTTTTTTTATCTATTTTGAAACATTTGAGCAAGGAATTTCTAAAATATCCATATTAAAGGACCATACTAATATACATATTTATTTCTAACCATATAATAATAACAATACAACATAGAACAATATACGTGGTCTGTTCAAAAAGTACCCGAAATTACTAATAATTAAATTTCGCGGGTCTGGAGTGTCTGATTGTCAAAATTTTTTTTTTATTGTGATGGTATACATGCCCCTAAAGTATGATGAAATTTTCAGCTATATTCACTGTTTACTTTGTCTGTGGTAGTCGCTAAGGTTCGACGTGTTTTTCTGAGCTCGGCGATTTTTGCAATGGAAGAATTGAAAAGTCAAAAAATTTGTATTAAGTTTTGCGTAAAAAATGAAATAAAGTGTTGCAAAGTGCAAAAATTCACCCGATATGGCTCCGTGTGACTTTTTCCTATTCCCAAAGTTGAAGAGACCCATGAAGGACGGCGGTTTTCCTCGATGAAGAAATCGCTGAGAGTGCTCAAGGACATATCAAAAAGTGAATATCAAGGGTGCTTCGAAAATTGGAAAAAAACGCTGGCATAAGTGTATTATATCTGGGGGGGACTACTTTGAAGGGGACCACATTAATGTAGACGAATAAATAAATATTTTTTTGAAAAAACGAAAATTCCGGGTACTTTTTGAACAGACCACGTAACATAAACATTTTAATATTAATCTATAATATAAAAATAAATTGCAAAATGTGTTGGTAAGTGCATAACTCAACATATTATAAATATATATGCATTTTTGTGTGAAGAGTAATTTAAAAAACAATAATTATTATTTTAAGGTAAACGGTAAATATTAGTATATTATATTAAAATATTGCACACATGAACAACGTCTGTCGGGTCATCTAGTTGATTATAAAAATATAAATGCTATATATAGAGAGTTAATAATTAATTTTTCTTACCCGGCAGTTGCTAAAGAACCAGTATTACAATGTGTCAATACAGACACTGAATCTTTTGCTGATTCATTTAAAATAGCTGCAGCACCATATTCGCCTATAGCTCTGTTATCAGCTATGTCTTTTTGCAGCATTGCTTCTATGGCTTGGACAAATCTAAAATAATAGATAATTATATATATATATATATATATATATATATATATATATATATATGAAGTGAATTGTAATAATTGTGAAAAATTCTATATTGGAATGTATTTACAATATATCTAAGAGAATGCTTCAATATAATTATAATTCAAAAAATAAAAATACAAAACAATGTTAACTGTACATATGCAAAATTTTAAACACACTTTCGATTTAAACAATCCCATTTTTTTAGGTATTGAACAAAATGTTGACCTAAGTAGGTAGTAAAGAAGAGAAGTTCTTCTTCTTTGCTTTTTGACAGCTATCAAAATTTAATTAATGGATGTAAGTCTGATTTTTTTTTAATATTTGAACAATTTTTTACCACTTGATAATTTCTTTTCTTCTTCTTGTTCAGAATAGGAAATATTGGTGCAATAATTGTCAAATTTCATATAAAAAAATAATTTTAAACACTATATATATAATTATTCATACTTTTCCTTCATCTCATCAACAGATATATCCTCGTTTTTATCCAAAGTGTTTGCCAGTTCAATTAATTCATCAGCTGCAATTTTCATATTTACTGCTGTCGGTCGTGATGATACCAGATAATTTAATTTACCTTCAATCTAATAAATAAATGTAAAAATTATATAATATATAAAATTATATGTTATATATATTATATGTGTATTGTTCTGTTTATTTACCTCTTGACGCAAAAACTTTTTGCTATCAAAGACCTGTCCAAGAATTTCAATGGCAAGAGAAAGACATCCAACTATAGCTATGGCTGGAGCTCCTCGAACCTGAGGAAAAAAAAAATTATGTATATATATATATATATATATATATATATATATATTAAATGTTAAATATGAACGATACAAGATTTGTTTAAAATATTTCTGTATCTATTCAAATGTTTTAGTACTGTGTCAAGCTCTGCAAGAGATAGTTGGTGTTTTTTGTATTTTCAAAAATTAAATGTAATTTAAATAAAATATTAAAGAATGTGTAACTGTTTTTGAATTTACACTGAAGATGAGGCATACCATGGTCTCGAAACGTCTGTAATTACCAAGTAAAGTGTGTGTTAAAAATCTGAGTGTTGTATTGTTCATATTTAACATTTAATATTCCTTTCAATCATATCACAAAATTCAATATATATATATATATATTACCATAAATTCAACTGAAATAATTTTTTTGGAGGTAATTTTTATGCAATTACAATATTTCAATGAGCACTATGTTGTTCTACATAATAAAAGCAAATTGAGATATGTTTTTCAAAGAAATTGACTACAAAATTAATAAAAGATTTGAAAAAATATAGATTACAGAACAGATTATTAATTTAGAACAGCAATAGTAATAAGCATATTTCTATTTTAATTTAATGGTTTAAAAGTTATAAAATAAATAAAAAAATATTATCTTATACTTATTCTTCGAACTTAATAGTTATTAAAAGATAAAATAAAATCCTGAGGAGAATTCAACTTCAATTCAATTTTTTATGAGTCAATTGTATTTAGACTTCAAAATCAATACAAAGAAAAATGTCGTATTGAATTTGATTTAACATTTAAATATAATACTTTGATCAGATCGATTATTTATATCATTAAAAAAATCACCAAAAAAAGATACTGCTTTCAGTACGTTTGATTATTAATTTAAATTTAGTTAGTGTAAAGGGATCAATAATTATATTTGTACTCGTTTTTTTGCAAACAGTACTCTTTTGAAAACCTGTACTCAAAAAGTACTTATTTGTATAGTTTTATAGTTTAATGTTATGTTTCTTGTAACCAGGCATACTTTCAGAAATATGTCTTATAATGTACAAGTTTGTCTATAAAAATACTGGGAATAATATTGAATAAATGTGGGTTCAATGAAATGTTGAAAAAGTGATCATTTCTATTTTGGTACTGGGTAACACACGATATGTATTATTTGAAATATAAACTAGACATCATTACCTCAACTCTTATATAAACTATCTGTTCTATAATATATTTTAACTATCATTTCCCACCTGCATTTTATTAATAACCCTCCACCCATCCTCGACTCCCTTAACAGAAATATATTTAGACTGAATCGGGAGCAAAAGTTGATCCAGAATCTCCAACTTCCCATGTTCATATTTAATAGCCAGCAGAGTCATTATGATCAAATAAAAGTCTTGAGTTGAAAATTATCTATCTAATTTCTAAAAAGCTCAAAGGGCAAACGAACGAACTCTAGGTCAAATATAAAACTGTTGATTCTTGCGTCTCATTTCTGGAATTAAATGATAAACGATAAATATAACTGTGACGATAGCAATTGTAATGGATTTGCTTACCAGGAGGTGATGGAATTTTGGCGGAATGGATTTCGAGTCTTTCATGCATAATAAACTGATTTATATTAATATTTATTATAAATGTAGTAAATTATGATTATTGATTGGCACTTGATGTAATAAACACGTATTATCTGCAGTTTTTTTGCATTAAAGTACACAAATGTATTTGTACACTACATTGACATTTTGAATTTGAAACCAACTTCAGAAATATTAAAAACAAGATGTCCAATTGAAGGTTTGGTGATCTAAATAAAAGCATATTTATTAATTACACAGCTAATGTAATATAAAAATATGAATATATATAACAAAATGTGATTCAAAAAAATATTCTACAATATTTTTGCTCTACTTATTTCTTAAATAAAATGTTAAGATTTTGAAGGTATGTTTTGACGTTTGACACCACTGACATGACACACGTGCGAAGTGACATTTCTGTAACATAACCTATAAAGTGTCCATTTTGAAAACATCGTTTTCTTTAATAATTTAATAAATAAATATAAATATATAGTTATAAATTAAAATAACTTACAGTATAAATAATAAATTTACTAATAGTAGTGGTTAAGTGTGATCAGTGTGTGCAATAATTGAATATCCTATAAATACTAAAATCAATTGGTAAGTTTGTACATAGAATCCTATTAATTTGAATTCTTAAATTAAATTTAGTTAGTTTAAAGGGATCAATGATTATATTTGTACACGTTATTTGTAAACAGTAGTTTTTTTAAGTCCTGAACTCAAAAAGTACTTATTTGCATAGTTTTATGGTTTAAAGTTATGTTTCTTGTAACCTAACCTATATGTACTTTGTCCATTTTAAAACCATTGTTTTATTTATCAATTTAATAAATAAACTAGTGGTGTATGGGATCGTGCCTTAAGGCAAATTGAATATAATGAGGCAAATGAAATATTCGAGAAATTTTAAACGTTTTCAAATATATTATTACAAATACTGTAATTTTCATTATTTTTGTTATCTTGTTATATCTGAGTGAGCAATTTAAATCATAAATAAATCAATTTATCTCCAGAACATTAACAATCGTCATTTCATTTCGAATTCAATTTCAAAAGTATAAAAAGAGTTGTCTCTAATTTACACAAAATTGAAAAAGTGCTCCCGTATAGTCACAGTCTAAACGGATTTGCAAATAATTCCGTGCGACATTTCCACTTATACCGTGCTTACCTTCACATTTTTCAATCTTTTCCGAAAAATTGGAAAAGTGCTCCAGTATATAAACGGTCTAAATGCACTTGGGTGAACATTTGTACCAGGGTGGCGCTTAGACTGTGCTTAGCCTGGGTGATTTTAATATAAATATATAGTTATAAATTACAATCATTTATAGTAGTTATTAAATGTAATCGGTGTGTATCATTATTGATTATATATCATATTATTCCTTTCTCAGGTCTTTTACCATGACGACTACTGCGCCCCAAAACGGCAGCTGGAAAGAATTCAACAAAACCAGAAAAGAAGAACGCAAAAAGCGCACAGAAGAAAAGCTCGCCAAAAAATTAAAGCTTGAACAAGAAGCCCTTCAAAAGCCCCCAGAACCAGAATTACAACCCCTTCAACCAGTGTCCACATTAGCCATTGCAGTACCGGGTTCGATCCTGGAAAATGCTCAATCCCCTGAACTCAGGACATACCTGGCTGGACAGATTGCAAGAGCAGCTTGCGTCTTCCAAGTTGATGAAGTGGTTGTTTTCGATGATTGTCCTGATGCTGTTAATGCTAAAAAGAGTAAATTGGAAGATGAGGAAGGTGTTAAGACTGCTAGACAGTCTTGTGTTCAACTTGCAAGGATTTTGCAGTATTTGGAATGTCCACAGTATTTGAGAAAGCATTTTTTTCCTATACATAATGATTTGAAATTTGCGGGAGTTTTGAATCCTTTGGATGCACCGCATCATCTGAGACAGAAGAATGATTTTATATTTAGGTAAGTGATTGAAAATAAATATTTTAATTGCAAGTTTTTTATATTAAATTCTTGTTTTGTAAGTTTTCTAATTAGAAGAAATTCTTTTATCTATTCATTATTGTATATATATATATATATATATATATATATATATATATATTTATATTTATATTTAGGTAAGTGATTGAATTATATTTATTTTAATTGCTGGTTTTTTATATTAAATTCTTGTTTGTAAAGTTTTCTAATTAGAAGAAATTCCTTTATCTATTCATTATTGTATATATATATATTGTATATATATATATGTATATATATAGAACCTTCATAATAAGTTCATAGTTTGTCAGTAGATTTTCTAAAGTTTTTATATACACATATAATAATTTATTAATTTATATAAGGTTGTTGAAACATTTTGAATTAAGATCAGATAAAATGCAAAATCTAACTAATTAATCCTTTTTTAAAAACCAGATAAAATAATCTTGGATACTGCTAGATAAGATAAGCTACATTATTCCTGAAAATAAAAGTAGCCTAATGTATTCCCGATTACATTAGCTATCTGCCAAAAAAGTCCCATCAAAATCAGTCTAGCCATTTCCTAGACAATTTTTAAAATATATTATTTAGTAAATATTACACTATTTATATTCATATGCATATATTAACAAACAGTTATTTCAACAATATAGAAACTCAAATTTTATTTATTGGTTAAACAATTACATACAATATTCTTTTATGAGTTATAGAGTTGTCAAGGAAGTACAAAATACATAAATTGCAATTGATACCCTCACTATATATATATATATATATATATATATTAATTTTTTATATAATTTTGATGTTGAAATATGTGATTTCAGTTTTCAGGGCAATACATCAATAAAAAATTTTGTATGAATTTAAAACAATTTTATTTTTTCCATACGTTTCGACACATTGTTTTTGTGTCATCTTCAGTGGACTCTAGATTGAAAGAACAGATAGAAATTATTAATAAAACTAATATATAAGAAGTGATATGGTATGAACTTACATGTAATTGAATTAATCCTAATTATTTCATAGAAGATGACACAAAACAATGTGTCGAAACGTATGGAAAAAATAAAATTGTTTTAAATTCATACAAATTTTTTAATTGATGTATTGCCCTGAAAACTGAATATCATATATATATATATATATATATATATATATATATATATATATATATATATATATATATATATATATATATATATATATATATTGAGTAAGGTTTTTAGGATCAGCCTCCTTTTTGCTCCTTTTTCATGTTGTCTTAATGCATCTTTTCTTTTAAATTTTTTGTTACACTTTAGTAAGTTCTCCAGTGTTAATAATCTCATGTCGTTTTAATGAATCTTTTACTCTAAATGTTTTATTGCATTTTTCACAGTTATAAAGATGATGCTTTATTTTCCAGTGTGAACTTTTTTATGTCGTGTTAGTAATTCTTTTCTTGCATATGTTTTATTGCACATGTCACAACTATAAGGACGCTCTCCTGTGTGAGTTATTTTATGTTGGTTTAACAACCCTTCTGTTCTAAATGTTTTATCGCATGTTTCACAACTATGAGGACGTTTTTCCATATGCACTGATGAATGCTTTTTTAGGTATTCTTTGTGTGAAAATCTCTTTTTGCATATTTTGCACTCATGAGGGAGTTCTCCAGTGTGAGTAATTTCTGTCGTGTGTAATGAATCTTTTGTCCTGAATCTTTTGTGCATATTTTACAGTGATGAGGGTGTTCTTTAATGTGAACTCTTTTATGTCTGCTTAAATGTTGCGTTGTTTTGAAAGTTTTATTGCATATTTCACATTCATAAGGTCTTTCTGCAGTGTGAATTACCTCATGCTCATTTAAATGTTGCTTTGTTTTGAATGATTTTTTACATAATTTACACTATAAGGACGTTCTCCGCTGTGAATCTTTTATGTTTCGTTTAAAAATCTCTTTGCTGTAAATGTTTTATTGCATATTTCACACTCATAGGGACGCTCTCCAGTATGAAGCATTTTATGCTCGTTTAAATGTGAGTTTTGTTTGAATGTTTTACTGCATATTTCACATTCATAAGGACGTTCTCCAGTGTGAATAACTTGATGTCGTTTTATTGATTCTTTTTGTGCAAATGCTTTATGGCATATTTCACAACTATAGGGTTTTAGACTACCATTTTTGAATGGTTTGCTCATATTACTTGAATTACTGACGTTTTCATTATATATGTAAGATTTTTCATCTAAACTTGTAGTTGTCGCAGCATTTTGCCCATCAATGTTTTCTTGCTTCATTCCTCATCAAATCGTAAGTTCAGATTTTAGAAATTGCAGTAGGCAATATTTATCATTCTCCATACTCATATTCGATGTATATTCATAATCATCAAACTCTTCTTTCACTTGAGGATCTTGTTTAAAATCTTGTTCATAATGATTCTTGCTCATATCTTCCTCAACCGTAACCTCAGATTTTAAAAATTGCTGTAGACAAATTTCATCATTTTCCATACAAATGCCGTTGTATTTTCATAATCTTTAAGTTCTTGTTTAATTTGAGGATATTCGTTCGTTCAACTTTAATTGGGTGTTTGAATTTGTTTCTTCAGACATTTTCAACTTTTTAGGTTATGGTAAGCTATCTCTAACGATGTATGCCTAAAAGCCGATAAGACTTGTAATTTAGTGTTGTGAACGTGTAATAAATATATTATGATATTTATCATCATGTTTATAATACTAACACTGACTTTTTCGTTATTATTTTGTATATTTTCCTTTACTTTATTAACACTTTGACATTTCCTTCTAGTTCTGATTGGGCAA